TCCCAAAACACTACCGTTTCACTTTTATATTTAGTGCTTCTCTTAAATCTACCTTTTCTCTCACCTTCAATTCATTTACTATCATTGCACAATTTTTATACATTATATATACTCCTTTCCTCTGTATTTTTTATATTCACACTTTCATAGTACTCTTATTGGTGCCTTACTCTTATTGGTGCCTTTTTCTAGCTGAATGATTGGGGGGAATTTTTTATTTTTAGCCTTAAATAAAGGGAGAAAATTAAACCACAAATTAATAAGTAAAACTCTGGTAATTGTAAACCTTAAACAAGTGTTTGGAAAAATATTGACATTTATCTATTACACTTATCATAGTAATTGTAAACTCTGGTAAAAAGTATGAATAAGTTTAAATATTTGCTAAATAAATTCTAGAAAAGTGATTAATAATAAGAGAATTTAATAGGATTGTATGAGTGAAATATGACCTAAAAAACATGAAAGTAATATATTATAAACCCCAAAAAAGATTTAGAAATTTTGCTAGTAAATAAATGCTTAATTAGAAATTTGAATAAGCTTAATTAGGAAGTGGTTTGATAATAAAAGGAACAAATAGGCTTATATGTATGAAATGAGACTTAAAATAACATGGAAGTGGTATGTACATATGGAAATATGAGAGAGACAAAGAAAAGACCATGTAAGATAAAGAACCAAAAGGACAAATAACAAAAATAACATAAAAGTCATCCCGTCTTTTCTTTCCAGAGGTCGACAACTTGGAGAGGAGAAAAACTTGTCCTCCTTCATCTTCTCTTCAAGTTTTCTTACTAAAAACCCTTTGCATGCATCTTCATTGAGCTTAGAAAAAAAGAGAGATAAACAAATAAACATAAGAGTTAAACTTATAGGTTTAAGCTAAAGAAAGAAAATTTTCTCTATATATATAGAGAGAGGGGGGGAACCATAAGGGAGGAAGAAATTGGAGCCGAAAATTAAAGAATAAAAGGGTCCTAATAGTACATAAGTCAATTTTAAGATATTATTTAAGTCAATTTTAAGATATTATTGAAGAAACACCGTGGACTAGATCATCTGTTGGAGGAGGTCACGTCGTAGGAAGAGTAGGTAGGTTTTTTACACCCCTAAGCTTTTATTTAAGATGATAAAATCATTTAAATTAAATTATGAGCAATAAAAATCATTGTATGGTTGTCTTTATTTTTTAATGAAAACTATTGTATTTTTGTTTTAATAACGAATGAAAACCATTATGGTTATCTTTATTTTTAATGAAGACCATTATATTGTTGTTTATATAATGAAAGGAAATCATTGTGTTTATCTTCATCATAAGATGAAGACTACTGTAAAGTTGTGTCCCTTTTCAAATGCAAGTCTTGGGAGTCATCTCCAATATAGATGGAAATCCTTTAAACGGATAAATTTAGAGTCAAATTTTCATGACGAGTAAATTGATAGATAAGTTAATGAAAGTCCAAGAAAATTTGAAACAAGTTTAAATATCATGTCATGTTATGTTGGTCAACACGAAATATATCTAAATATTATATAAAATATAAGGTCATACAAGAATTAGATTCATGTTTAATTGTTTAGTTGTAAGTGATGTTAATTTTTTAATTTCTTGATTTACAATAGATTTTAAAATCCTATAACTAATTTAAAAGATTAATAGTTATAAATATTTTATAGGCCCATCTCATGCAACAACACCAAGTTGAGTAGAAATTTTATATAATCTAGTTGTAAGAAATATTTCATATATGTATCTCATTTTGTAATATGATGGTGATATATTAAGCATATCTTATATTTTATATCTAATATCTTCTCAAAACATCTAAATTGGATGGCTAAGTAGTGGATGGTAATCAAATTTAATTATATTATTTACTTTAAGCTTTATATTATATTTTAGACTTAAGTTTACAATTAAAGTAACTCAAAGAAAATTATATTTTATTCATTTCTCATGATATTTTTATGTATATTAATCATTGAAATGCATATTATTTGAATGGCTACAAAGAAAAATATTTATAAAAAAAAAATAAAGGCTAGGAGAAATTGTTCATATCTCAAATCATGTTGTGCAATGAAATGAAAAATGATTCAAAATGGATAGACCCCGACGATTGTTGTGAATTGTTTGGCATCGACATAATAGATTTTTAAAAAAATTTAAAGGAAACTCTGCTAATCTTTTATAGATTATCAAATTCAATAGAATAGAGAATATAATACAAAAGAAAATTGACATAAATTGAATGCAATGTATTAAATCATTTTCTATAGGGTATTACATTAATATTACAGAGAAACAAAGCCATTGACATTATATATTAGGTAGTTGAGAAAGAAAGCCATTGACATTATATATTAGGTAGTTGACCTTGGCAGCAAGGATAGTTCCTTTTCTTTTCTCCTTTCGTTTTGTTTATACATTACACAAGCAAAATTGTTAATTGATTGTATTGAGAAAAGACAATAATAATAATAATAATAATAATAAAACACCATGGGTATTATATACTCTTATTAGCAATCATTCTAGTACTACACCACCATTTGGTTAACACATTCATTTAACTTCTCATCATCTCTACTATTCTAGGATTTGCAAATACTATCTAGCTAGAGAATATAGTGACTTTTCCCTTGCACTTATTACTATTAGTAAAATATGGTTAATTTAGATTATTCAAATGAAGTGTTTGATAAAAAGCATAAAAAGAATTAAATACTAATTACTAAATTTTAGTTTTTTTAATGTAAAGTTATAATACTTATTTAATGGCAAAGTTGTAATATTAGTATTTTAAGGCTTTTTAGTCAATAAATGAAAAATAATAGCAATGATTTAATTAATCAAATGTTTTTGTTAATTTTTTTTTTAGAATGTCAAGTGTTATCTCATGTATAAAGTTCAAGAAGTAAATGTAATTTCTCAATTTACATCAAGAAAGTGAAAACACAATCAGATCTTATGAGTTTTTTTTTGTAATTATTCCAAAAAATTTATTTTTATTGAATCTCCATGAGAAATTTCTTATTTCTTATTTTTGCATATTAGATGCATAATAATTAAAAAGGAAGTTCTTGAAATTTTTATCATAATCTATAATATTATTTAAGAACCAAGGGAAGTTGAATAATAATTTAAATATTATATCCAACATTTTTTATATTGTATTCCAATAAAATGAAAACTTTAAAAATAAAAGAAGTCCCAGGAGAGAGAGAATGCAAACAAAAAGAATGCTTTGTTTCTTACACATCTTTGATCTTTTTATTCTTATATATAAAAAAGAGAGAGAGAAAGAGCTAATAATATATATTTTGCTTCTTCATAATCTTACCATCATAAAGATAGTTGAAAAATTCAATAATAATTTTTTTATTTTTTTATTAGTTCAAAATACTTCTAAATCAATTAAAAAAATACAAAGTTAAATTAAAAAAAAAAAGCTTTCTTGACCTTATTTTATTTTTTCAATAACATAGAAATTTAAAAATACCTTAACATCACTCTTCTCAATCAGAGAAATACATTGACATAAAGTTTGGTTTTTTTGTTAATAAAAACTTGACAATTGACCATTTTCTTTTTTATTTCTCAAAATTAAAGACCGGAATGTGAAAACAATTAAGTTTTGGATTAAAATATATAATTATCAAACTAAATGAATGAAAAATTACATCGTAAAAAATCTAAAGGCAAATTTTTTAAAAAGATGTTGAATGAATAGTATAACAAAAAAAACTTGAATTTTTGCCTTAATATCACTTTTGGTGCTCTCCTTTTAATTTTTTCACAAACAATAAACTAATTAATTAATTTTAAAAAAAACTAAGCATTAAACCAATACTAAAAAAGTTTTGGACACCACTTAACCTTTTGAAATCAATTTAAAACAAATTATCAAGGTTAATCTCCAATTAATATAATTTAAAAGGATAAAATTAAAAAAAAAATTAAAATGAGATGAGATGAGAGAAAAAAAATAAAAAAAATATTAAATTCAGTGTTGGTGAGATGAGACATGGTAAAATCACCATCTATTTCATGTTTTTTATTTTTTTTGTAATTAAGAATTAAAATTATTTATATCTTATGTAAAATATAACTCACTAACCACGATAACCTCCCATAATAAATATTAATCTTGGTTCTTTCTTTATTTTACTGGAAATTCCAATATCATTATTTTCTTTATTGTTATCTTACCATCATCATTATATTATTTTTATTATATCTATCATATTATTACTTCACTATTATTGTTGTGGTAATCTCATCACCACCCTAGCTTTTATAATTAATGACCGTCATTATCCTTATAATTATCATTATTGTCATCACAAAACATTAAAATTATTATCTTATCAATATAATATATTATTATCATTTCACCGTTACTATGTTTTTTTATTATCCCTTGTCAAATATTATAAAAACAATTATATAAAAAAATTCATATGATATATTTTATTTGTAAATTTTTACATAAATTAAACATACTTAATGATAGGTAATTTTATCCTAAAACAAGAAAAATGTTAATAAATACTAAAACTAAATAAAAACATATATTTTATAATTAAATGTCAACCATAAATATTAAACCTGATCTAATTAATCAATTTAGTAACCCACCAGTTATAAACAAGTTTGCTTTTGAATCATTTAAAAAATTCACATGGTTAATAGTCCATTTGGGTTAATTTATAACCTAAGTACTCGGCCAAAGACTTGATCAACAAATATTTTTAAAAAAATAATTCAAAAATGATGTAATTTTAATTTTTTTCAAAATCATACATATATATATATATAAATTGATTAATTCTCAGCTATACTATATTGACATTTCGGTTCACTTAAAAGGAGAGCATTTTGGGCTTCGAAAACTTATTAAGCCACGTGCTTGCTATCTATCTCTTTCTAGAGATTGGAAACTGACTAGTCATTTTGTGTGTATCGGTATGAACGGATATATATATATATATATATAAAATACAAAATCAAAGAACTGGGCGTCGTTTACCTTACCGGAGAAAAAGAGAGAGATCCCCTCCCCTTCCTTGGACAGACAGTAACGTAAAATCTGAGAGAGGCAGAGAGAGAGAGAGATGGCGGCGCGGAGGAAGATGGTGCTGGGTTGCATTTTAGGAGTATTGATTTGTAGTAGCAATCTTTTCACGGTTAGCCAAGGGGTGTGGTTGAATCTGCCTCCTACCGGTACCAAGTGCGTGTCTGAGGAGATCCACAATAACGTCGTCGTTTTGTCTGATTACGTTGTCGTTTCCGATGACCATTCCCATATCCCCACCATCTCTGTTAAGGTAACCCAATTTTTCTTTTTTCTTTTTAATTGATACACTGTGATCTGAATCTCTTACGATGAGTCTTAAATTTTATTAGAATCAATTTTTCCCCTTGTTTTTGTTCCCTATGTGCAAGATGTGTTATACTTAGAAATTCGTAGGTATTACTGGAGTAGAACCTCTTACAAAAGTGGTGCCCATCACAATGGCAAACTCCTTCGCTCGCCCATTGTAATGAACATGCATTAGGCTCGATGAGGTTGATCATAATCATACAGCATATCCTCGATAAGCTAATAAATTTGATTAAATAATATTTTTGTTCGTCCCCACTTAAATTTAAATTTTAAATAATATATTGATGAACTAATATCTCTATTAATTAATAATTTTTCATGACCCCGATGCTATTAATTTATAGAGGTTTAACTGTATATGGATCATGCTTTCTCTACGTGAGGGAGAGAGGAGTGATGTTAGATATTAAGAAAGTATGGTAAAAAAATTTAATAATATACTTGAGTTGTTGGATTATGATTTTACAGTAGGATTCATTAGTAGGGCTGTTGTGTTAGTGGGACTATGTGTGTTTTTGAAGTATTTTCTTGTTATATTTTTCATAACATTTAGCATTACTTGGGAGTTAGTATTTAATAATTCTTGTTTTATAACTTAAACTTGCACTTGTGCTTACTTTTTCTTTTTTTTAAAAACAAAAAAAATAGGTCCGTGAATAATTTAACAGTAGGTGCTGCATTTATGTGACATATGAGAGTATTACTTAACTCTTGGTATATATAATAATTTCTCTTTCATGGAAGTCTTAATTGTTCGAACTTGTATGGCTAAATATCCATTATTCCCTTGTTAAGTTTGCTTGAGCATTGTCCTCAATTGTTTGTTTCTTCTTTAGGTGACATCACCATATGGGAACACCCTTCACCAAACAGAGAATGTGACTCATGGTCAATTTGCATTCACGACTCATGAGGCTGGCAATTACTTGGCATGTTTTTGGGTGGATGGTCATGTTCAAGGAGACGTGAGTGTTAACATTGATTGGAAAACTGGAATTGCTGCTAAGGATTGGGATTCAGTTGCTAGAAAAGAGAAGATAGAGGTAAGAGCATGTTAAAGATAATACCGCTGGTAGTCTAGTGATGAGTTTCACTGTGAGTCAAAAGCTTCCACGGCTTTTATTCACTTGTGAATACCATATATCCAAAGTTTTGCAGTGTTGACAAAGTGGAGAGCGGGTGCTGGGTTTGGTTTGTGCTAGAGTTCTTCTAACTCAGATCATCATGCACATGGTATTAATAAGAGAGAACAGAAAGGTGTTTTTATGATTCTCTACCTTTCCTTGAACTAGCTGGAAAACATAAGACATTGGTGAAGTTCATAGTTGCAGAGCCTAGGACGAGAACTTATCTTATATATAATCTTGGAAGTGCTTCTGATGTTAGATTGTCGTTTAATGGACATTGATTATTGACTATGGAATAAGCTTATAGTGCTTTCACCTAGGCAATTAAAAAGCGCCCCCCTCCCCCCACAAAGATGCACTTGTAATTCATCCGTGGCCATGTAGTTTTGTTTCTGATTTTCTTAATATTCGTATGCATGAATATATTTTAATTTGTCCACCCATAGGGTGTTGAACTTGAGCTGAGGAAACTTGAAGGAGCGGTGGAGGCCATCCATGAGAATCTACTCTATCTCAAAACGAGGTATATTCTTCTCTACTTTGCAATCTGTTCTTTTCTTTCTATCTAGCAATTTCTCTTTTATTCAACTAAACAGTTTTTTTTTAATTATTATTATTGTTTTTATTGGATAATACTGACAGGGAAGCAGAGATGAGGTCTGTGAGCGAAACAACAAATACCAGAGTAGCATTATTTAGTGTGATGTCGTTGGGTGTCTGCATTGCTGTTTCAGCACTGCAAGTGTGGCACTTGAAACACTACTTGCAAAAGAAGAAGCTCATTTAGTATTGGTAATCAAGTTTATGTATCTTGGTGAAAGAAAGTTTGCTACTCGTTCTTTTCCTTGCATGTTGTAGAAGAAAATTTTAATACATGAATATAGCAATGTATACCGTCTCATCTCACCACTGATTTTTTGTTTTTATTTTTTATTTTTTGAACATTTAAGTTGAATGTTTGTTTTAATTTTAGTTTCAAGTGATATAGACTAACACTTCCTGGTTCCTTTATTGACATTTGCCTTTTACATCTGACTGAGGATGGTTTTTTATGGTCGGTCCTGTGATTAGGAAGAAGAGACTCGCATTTTTCTTGATTGACCGTACAACTAGTTTTATGGTTCAAAGCTAAAAGCAACAGGGAGGAGCAAGCTAGAGGTCATGAAGGCTTTGAGGTTTGTTACTATTCAATGTCTCAAGCGACTGAGAAATTGTGGCATCGTTAAAACTAGCTGTTCTTCTTGATTAATGGTGTCAGAGCCTGTTTATCTATGTTTTAAAAGTAATTTTTTATTATTTTTTTTGTATTTATAGATTGTTTTGATGTGATAATGATGAAAATAAATTTTAAAAAATAAAAAAAAATATTATTTTAATACATTTCCAAACAAAAATACATTTTAAAAAACAATTACCATCACAATATCAAACACTATTAAAGCCTTTAAATTTGTGTCATATCTTGAGGAGCTCCTAACAACCCAGCTGTTCCATGCAAGCATGCCCAATGCCTAGTTTTCTAGTTGGGAGGCATTCAGCAGGGCTCAAATTTAACCATGAAATGCAAAATTAATGTGATTAATTCAAAAAGATGATGAAATACAACAATTTGTCAACATTCAAGTTAAAAGTTGGAGAATGTGTGAAACTAACAGTTGAAGAATGATTAAAGTTTCAAACGTGTCAGCAGTTAAGACTGTTGACTAGTGAACCGAAGGATCAATGTGAACCTAATCAGTGTAAACAAGGGAGTGACTCGACGACGGGTATTTATTCTATTCGAACAGTTTTGTGATTCATGCGTTGAAACCTGCAAATCTCATCAAAGAAATCGTCTGCACTGCTATGGCTGCTCCGCATCTGAAGAATCCTTATTGCCATTGACTTTATAACCTTCCCGTACTTCAAGAGCGACTCAAGGGTGCATATCTTCTGCTCGGCATT